ACTTAACCTTCAGAGCTATAATGCTTCAGGCTTGTCCACATCATGGAGTTAGTGGGCCAAACTTCACCGCCTCCCAAGATTGTTTGCCCTTCTGCGGTTGGAGGGGATAAAAAGCACGGGAAGATGTTTCCTCTTGTGACTGTTTCAAATCCTTTCAGTTAAGGTTTCTCCCAAATCACCCAGACCTTCTGAAAAGGCAGGGCAAGCAGGGAGAGACAACATGAGGAATGCTTCCTATAGCTTGGCTGGTTGCTGGGGGAAGAAATTGCTTTCTAACAGGACTATGTGAAGAAGAAAAAGGTGAAGGGGTTCAGATGAGAGACACGGCTCGGGGGTGTGCAAGCTCAGCACAACCACAACACAGCAGGTGCAGCAGGAGCACAGCTGCTAGAAACCTTTTCAAACCCACATGCAGGCAAGGGTTTCCCAAAAGCCATTTTTGTCCATTACACTGGGGAGAAGATCAAGATGGGAGACGGAGACTGGTAATTCAGGCCTGAGTGTGAGCAGCAGATGGTGTAAGTGTAATTTAGCTGCTCCAGCAAAGGTGAACTTGAGTGTCTAAGCTATGGCTTGATAAACCCACGTACCCAGGCTGAAAGGTAACTCCAGCCTTGGCCGAAATCAGCAGAAGGATCCAGCGCTCCCATTCAAAATCACCCCAGCTGGGGGATTGCTTGATCTCTAAATAAAGTACCTGCCTGAGCACCCCAGCACCCGGCTGCCAACCATACCTGCCCCGAGTCATAGGCTGACAGGTAACCCTCGGCAAAGCCCATGCCGTTGGGCGAGCACGTTGCAAACTCCCACCAGCTCCTGGGAGAGCAGGGGCTGGCCAGTCCTCAGCCCTGCGTGCTGGTGGGCAAGGCTTGGGTTTCTCCTAGCCCCTCGGGGTGTCCTTCCCCTTCCGCCAAGGTGCCAAGGGAAGAAAAAAACCCCAGCGGTACCACTCCAGGTATCGAAAATTAAGCTAAACGTCTTTCCCCAAAGAGATGTGTTTTTTTCAGCTTTGCTTAACAAGATCAGCCCCTCTCTTTCTTCCTAAAACAGCCAGCTCAGCAATGTGTCCTGGAAGGGCGCCATGTCCCCCCACGCTGGGGACACCAAATCTGCTTGTGTGGCTTTCAGAGCCCCATCAGAGTCCACCTGCCCCATAGCGCGCTTGGGATGCCAGCCGCCCTCCCTGTGTTGGCTGGGGGCTTTGTTACTGCTCTTGTGTTAACGCCTGGGTATCTGCTCTGTTTTGTACAAGCATTCACAATAAAGGAAATTGTTGCAAAAGCAAAAAATTGAAAAACTGAAGGATTGCATCACTTCGCTGCGCCTGCTACTCTGGGGCCCTTCCTGCCGATGGCTTTCTGGGGTTGATGGCCACCCAGATATGCTCAACGGCTTAGTCCAGCCTACGGGTTGGGAGGGGTTTTTTTTTGCAATCCTGGTAAAATCCAGGCGTTCCTTCACTTTTGAGGCTCTTAAAAGCCAAAAGGCAACAGGCCAGGCAGGCATGCTGCTCTGCGGCGAGAGGCGATGCTGACAGCATTGGGGTCGCTGGCAGTCCTTGGGTCATGAAGTCCTCCCCGTGCATCACTACGTCCAGAAAGAGAAACCAAAGGCTCATCACGGCTGCGGGACAAAGGTCTGCTTACTGAGTTTGTCCCTCCGTTGTGGGGAGATGGACCTGCCAGAGCTCGGGGCGCTTGCAGGTTCTGCCATCTACGTGTATGCAACAGCCCTCATAGACCGGGGCGGGGAGGGGTGGGGGGGCAGCATCAGCAGCAGGGCTTGTAATGAGTGTGTGGGGTCTCAGCTGCCATGCAAAGGGCTGGGGCC